TGTCAGTTCTAGGCTAGTGTAGAAACACGGCGGTTCAACATGGCAGCCTCTGTGGAAGAGGACCCATTCCTTCTGTAGGTAAAAACGGCTCATGCTAAAGTAATGAAAACACAAACATTTTCTGTTGATTATACACTAATGAAAACATTACTGTAAATATTATATTCCATTTCTACCAATGGATCCTTCTAAATGTTACACACTGGACCTTTAAATATTAGTTGGCCTAAAAACAACCTCTCTGACACTGACAAAAACTAAATGTTATAAACTTCACAAAGGTAGAATGTAGGATTGTTAACATGTACTAAAGTGATTGATATATTAAAGTCATCACTTCCCTCTTCATGTTTGCATTTAAGATCAAAATGAATTGGATATTTTGCTCTTTCATATTACACAAACAGAAGCGCAATTACACCTCTTTATCCTGTGAAACCGTTATCTCAGTGTTCCAAACGATCTGGCAGCCTTCAAACGTAATACTATAGTTTCCATTCAGATTTTCCAAAACTAGACTACAAGGCCCCCACACTGGTATAAATATGCATAAAATTCAGTTTACAGTTTATCTCATTTACAGCTAATGCACCCTACCATCACAAATATCTGAGAAATGAGAGTTCAAGATGATCAATTATAAAAAATCCATCTCAACCAAACGAATGTTAAGCAGCAAATTGACGTTAGGTACTTTTCCTCCAGCAATAATTACTAGTGTAGCATCATGAGGTTGAGCTGTAATCTCTAAGCCGTGATTATCATAAAACAAACACAAGCATTAACAGAAATCCATTGTAATTTCAGAGAAAACTATTTATGATTTGTTTAACACAAAAATCTATTTTTATTTAGCTCACATCGATATCACTTACCGTTTACTTTGTAGCATGAAAATGAGCTTCCACTACATGGTTATAATGATATTGACCACTTCACTGGGTAGTGTTAAGGCAGAAGGATTCACAAACAGAAAGTACATACCTACAGAGTCATACATCACTCAGAAATCTTGAATCCTATTCTGTTGAAAAAGCCATTTGATTTGAGGATGAGGCACCAGCTACAACTGTGTAAAAGAGAGCTGCAAAAATGAGGTCTGACTGAGCCACTACCAGCTGCCAATAAGGCCTCTGCCAGCAACAAACTGAAACATGGCCTCACCTCTAGCACACAGACTACAAGACCACCTGGGTCAACAGAACACGAGCACGACCCTGAAAACATGACCGCAGCCCGATGCGAGAAATCATCATCAACACAGGCAAACAAACTCAGCTGCTCTCCCAAATGTTGGCTATAAATACCACAGGATCCTTAGCATTCCGCACCACGGCAAACCCAGAGTGTCAAGGATCAATAATTTATGCGAGCAAGAGAAAGTTGTCAGATCCAACAATGCCTACAGACAGAGCGGAGCGTACGGCTTGTTTACAGAACCATTTCAGAGAAAGATGCCATTGATTAATCAGCAATTGACAGTCATGTTGAGGAGAAAAGGCATTTTTGTTGAACAGGCAAAATCATTTTGGGATTGAAACAAGTGTATTTTTATAACAGTATCTTTGAAAGGGCAGGAGACAGGAGAGAGACTGTATTTGTGAATTTTGCTGCAACGCTACAGTCGTGATGAATTGTAGGGTGACTGCCAACAGCAGTGGCATGGCTTCACACAGTGTTTTTCTATTTCATTTCTTTATGCAGAACCCTGGACCGCCATCAGATAGATATCTATGCTGTGCAAACCGAGCAGGCATGGCACTAATGACTGCCCTTTTACCCCCTTATTTACTCATGAATATGTGTGTAAAGGAGAATCTGTGGGACATTAACGTATTTCCTTTGGCTACTTGGGAGCGACGGAACAAACACAGGGCAACATTAGTATTCATCTTCGTATATTTGACCATCTACGCCAGCTAGTTGCTAACAACTTTGTCCGTCTGCAGTGCATGGTGCCGGGCAGGTAGTGTACAGTGAGTTTACCAGAGCTATTTCATTAAAAACAGCTGGATTCTGAGGAGTGGTATCCAAGACTGGAAAAACCAAGACAGTGAGTGACCAGAGGTTACCAGAAATTAATATAAATATTACTTATAAAAGAAAGACTATTAAACGTTTGAACAAAGAAATAACACAGTCTCCTTAATGTTCACAAATTTTAAAAAGAAACTACTGTGGAAATGGCAAAACATGTGGTGCATGTGCCTCTAGTAAGTCAGATTGCCTAATGATGGTGTCTTTGTATTCAATGTGCTATTATGCTGTAATCTCCACTTGTGGCCACACTGGCTGCTCTTCTGGAAAATTTCCCATACTCTTGTTTTAAATAATAACTCATCAAAAAGTTTCTTCTGTTTTACAATGTGTGCCTTACCTTTGGTGCAAAGTTAATTGCTCCTTTTGGAAAATGTGGGTGAACTTTTTAAACCCTAACAACTTGGGAATATGATATAAGCATCTACTAACTAGCAGTGAAAATACATGTTCATTAAAGACATAAAAACAAAAACACACAGTGGAAATAACACATTTTCCTTTCATTAATTCTGCCTATTTGATATACCAGATGTTTTTCGAATTAAGAGTGGAAAAAAGACTCCATACATGCTGAGTGGTATATCCAGTTAAGTACCACCGTCTTCTGGTGTCATCCCCTAAGAGCTGCCCAGTATGACCACAGTCGTCTCTTGTTACCCACTGGGGCTGCCCACTTGCAGGCTTCCACCGCCCTCGCTGCTTAATCAAAATGAAGGTCGATTTGTAGAGTTCATGGGTGCAGTGCTCCCACAGCTCCCACAGCTCCCAGCCCCTGTTGGTTCAATTTAAAATGAGTCGACAATACAGTCTCTGGCTCATTTTAGCCCAGAGATCTAACACTGAAACAGAGCTGATCTCTCTCCTCCTACGCTCTGTGGCACTATGTTAGTGTGGTGAGTGTGTTTGTGTGTGTGTGTGTGTGTGTGTGTCCCTGGCCTCATCCTGAGAGAAAGCAGCATCCATCACAACTCCCAGTCTCCACTGGCACTTCCACTCAGGCTGAGGGATGATGGTAACGCCCCGTAGCTTAGCTCAACCCAGACGAACAGACACACAAAACACACACACACACACAGCAGCACATACTGTTGGTATATGTTACATATGGTAGATGTGTGTTTGTCCATGTGTGGTATCTCACCAAGAATGGGATATGAGTCAGTCACTGTCGCCCACCTCAGATATGATGGATGGATGATTATGGTGCAGTTGCATTTATTATTGTAGAATTGATCAGTACTATATGAGATTCCTGTGGGAAGCCTCTAATATACACTGATGCTAATGTGACATTTAATCTGATTTGATGCAACTAGGCATGATTATCATCATCAGTTACTTCTATTTCCCAGATTTCTGTGGTGATTTAAATGTTCCATGATTGACACACAAAGATATTTTGTTTTCTTCCGCCAAGAATAACATTTCCAACAGATTCACACCCACATATTTCATTTTTCCTTTTCCAAAGCCAGCTGCATACATATTCAGTAACGCTCTGGCTGCAGGATATTTTCACAGACCCAATCTTTTTGGAATCTCATACAGGTAAGTCAAAAGATTAAAAGGAAAAACAACAACATAAAAAATACTTCTACTCATGTCTCTCTTTACTAATGCAGACTATGCCTCATAATCACATTGGTGTCGAGAGATCTGGGACAGATAATGCATTTTTTCTGACATTTTTAAAAATGTATAGGCTTGACCTGCAATTTCTGTAGACAAGCCAGACAGAGCATGACTGTGGGTTAGTCAAGATTTATGATCTTTGTCTAAAGAGCATGGAAGGGGAACTGCTAGAGGGGCTTTCTGGTTCTGCCATCCAGCCAGGAATCACTCCAGGTCAGTTGTTAACTAGAATCCATTTATATCGTTTTCCTTTGACAGGTACTGATTAGAGCGAGAATACTGGTTTATAATGTTTCTTCACAAAGGCATATGTTTCCTCAAAAATCCTATTTTCTGTGTGCAGAATATGCAACATGTATGATCTTTCTTTCTGTTGCTGAACTTTGTACTGTAACAGTTCTGAGCATTCAGTTGCACCAGCTATTGAGAGTGGCTCTGGTAAGTGACATGCTAGAAACAATGTTAAAGCCTATCTATGTTTTTGCTCAGCAGTTCTACAAGACTCAACATTAACTTACCCTATTATGACCTTACCTATAACATGTTAACACACTAACTCATATGTGCAAGTAATGTTATGTTTGTAATATGATAACTAAAATAAGTTTCAGTTGCACTGGCAGCAACGCTACTCAAAGATATAACGCTGGCTATCACTAATAGCTTGTTAACTATATAAAGTTAATGCAACAAAGCTCATCATTATTTTCAGTGGTAATGTGGAATGCTTGTCATCATAGTAAAAGATTATAAGATTGTGGTGTTTCTGCAACTTCAGCGTAGAAGATTGCTATTATAACACAAACACAAATATCTGCTGCCGTACTCTTTTAGCCAGATAGGCTATTACTTGTGATGTGTAACCAGTCACATCGTCTTGTGGGTGGAACATTGAGCCAGAGCCCGACAACAGACATACTGTACAGATCTTATTTTGCCCTGCCCAGCTTATAATACAGGACAAAAAATAAGACAGTTAGCGGCTAAATAGTCAGATATTTTTTGGACACCTAACCAGAGCAAAAAAGGGGATAGTATGTCAAAATGATATATTTCGGCCTAAGTGGTAAAAAAGCAAACCAACAAACAACAAATCTATGAATGCAGCTTTAGATTACAGAGGTTTAGAACAGGTGATCGTGCGTGGAACCACTGACAGCAGGATTTTATTCCTCTTGAAAGAAATCCAAGTTCAAAAGTCAGATTAAATTCCCGCGGTGTAGATTTGCTCTTAGTGAGGAGGTAGGAACTTTTTGTCATAGCACTAGCTGTTTTAGGGCTTAGTGTTTAGTCGCTTGTACATTTGAGTAGGTGACAAGGTGTCTTACCCCGGGGCCTTGAGGAGATTCTGGAGGAGAAGCTGGCGGAACGTATTTTTGACCTAAAACACAAGGAAAACAAAAAAGCAGATAAAGAGAAAACACCTTGTAATGTGTAAACAGTAATATTATGCATCCCTTTTATGTATTGGACTTGTTAATGTATTAATCTGCATATCGCTTGGCTATGTGCAAACAACCAGTTCAATGTTTAACAAGAGTAACTGACAACACTGTAAGTAATGTTTAGCGTACCTAGCAGCACTGTTATTTTTATAGTGTGGTTAGACATTTACTGGAATATTAGCTTGTGAGAGGGAATGGAAGTTGACAGTAGCTTCGGATTGCTTTCTTGTGGATTGGATTTTCAGTCAGGTGGCATGCAGCGGTATAGAGAATAATACTGTAATGATGAGTACTGAATAACTTTGGCAAAGTAAATAACCAGAACTTCCAATCAGTAACAAATCTATCCAATTTCACACAGATCAGGAGGCAGAGTTAGATTTAGATGTCACGCTGAGTTTAAAGTCCAACAATACTTCCTGAGGTTTTTGGTTGGTAGCCATGGTAATACTGAAATGAAAGGCTTTCCAGCATCTCTTTGTCCTCCTCTCCCACTCTTTCTCGCTCACTGTGCTGGGCTTGACTGGCCTTTTGGAAATTGCCTCAGTTGCCTGGGGTGTCTTACTGTAGCTCCCATCTGTTCAGACTACATGCACACAGAGTGGACACGGTGCAGGACTGGCTGGCTCTCTGTCTCAAATACGTTCTGGCATCCCACCCCCCCGCCGCCATTTTGTTTTTAGGGCTTTCAGTTTGCTCACTGTTTTACGTCTTGAGCCGTCGGAAAATGTGTTTCACCTCATTAGCAGGGCTGACGTGCAATTGGCCATTTATTCATGATCAATGAGAGGCCTTCTTGACAGCTGAGCAAACTAGCAGATGTACAAGAGGCAGATACAAGCACCTATACGTGCACAAGACACCGGCGGAAAATACATTTAAATATGTAAAGATGATGCATCATTAAAATTCATTAATGAGCATCTGCGTCAAAACAGCAAGATCGCCTCCATATTTTACTCCGCTCAGCTTATCATTAGAAGCAGAGAGTGATGTGTGATGGTCATGTAAACAACACGGGATTCTGTAGCTAAATTATAGATTCATGAAAATGTATGGGCTGTCTTATGTCCATCATGAATAACTCATCGGTTCATTCTGAGAATATGGGATAGGCAAAGTGTCTTGTTTCTTTCTAACAGTCAAAGGTTGTGAAAGGCAGTTAGCTCTTTCCACATTAATAAATATACATGCATCAAAGACATGAATTACATATTTCACATTGGCCATGAATTTCATATTCATCTAAATAAGCTATCTGCAATGGAAAGCAGCACCCTTACGGGCAAGTCCATGTGCCCACACACACACACACAGAATCCTGGGAAAACAAAGTCAAGGATGATTAAGGTGCCTGAAATCAAAGAATGACAGAGATCCATCATATCATTCTCCTCTGAACACTGGCCCAAATCATTCGGGCTTCTTGGGCGATCCTCTGAGGACACTTGAGCACTGATTAAAATGTCATTAATAGACTCTGCCGAAAGCCTTCTTTACACACCCATGAAGTAGGCCCTGATCAATGCTATTCTTCTCTCCCAAGATAAGTTAACAGCATCATTAGTGGGGGAATCAGCGAGTATACGACTGGGGTCCACTCGAGTTCTTTCTACTGTCACCGGGATTGAGAGGCTGTGTGTAGTGTTTACTACACTTTTAATCAATTCACTGACAGGCACAGAGCAAATCAGCAGTGTAGGTTTCAATAAGAGATGCAGACAGTGGCACGTCATTTATCTTTGGCTGTGTGCAGGATGTGGAATATTTAATCAGAACTTTGTTTCAGTGGGAGGCCTTTTTAAAAGCTTGGGGTTCAGGAGTTATTTCTGGAGGGATATCATGGAACGGTCACACTTAATTGGGAACGACGGAATAAAAAAGCCTCTGTTAGAGAAATTCAGCAGCATACACTGATAACCCCCTTAAAATCTGAAGAGGGAAAAAAAGCAGGTTTATTTTCACATTCTTAATCACTGCACTTATAGAAAGCAAAGAACAGCCAATATGCATGGTGACACAGTGGCTGATGTTTGATGCTACCGAAATGTTTTTTAAAATTCACACTGAAGCTATTCTGCTGCTATAATCTCACTGATATGGGAAAAACGGTATGACATTTCTACTGGGAGTCATGTAATTGAGTTAGAGAAGGTATTTTTTTTTAGATTTGCTGATTTTCCAGAACAGCAACACACAATGTTCATGGAGGTTTGGAGAATTTTGAGATAAAGCAGGATTATGACATTAGCTGGATTAATAAAACACAAAAACCTTTCAACTTTGGAATCCAAGGCTTCTTTTTAGTCCCAAATAGTTAAAATTTAGTCTAGACTTGTGTGCTGTAAGCTAAGTAATCATACAAAATGTTAAAGGGCAGAAAACCCACTGTATTCCACCACTGGAATGCTGTTTGGTGAATAACAATGTAGAAAAAAAAAACATCAATTCTTATACACGAATCCATGGAAGTACCAGAAGTTACATTACCAGAACACATTACTGCCATTACTGCGGTGCTCCCTACAGGATGAGCCAGTTTGTATGCCCTAAGAAGTGTAAAAATTTCGACTTTTTCCTTTACTTTCTACATAGCATAATGAAATTGGGAGGAACCTGTGCGGTTATCAGCTGCTCAAACTGTAGTGACAAACCTCAACTTGAATGCGAAACACAAAAGCCTTCCCCTTTATGAAGAGTGCCCCTGTCTGAGACCCTACACTTTACATAGATTCCCTGGGCGTGCAGAGAACCAAGATGTTCACATGAAATAATCTTGTATACCTATGAAAAAACATGAATTTGTTATTTTGTTAATATTTTTTTTACTAATATAAGTTGTCTATGATAACTAAATGCAACTCTTGGTTGATTATGCTAGCTAGCTAGTACAGTTATATTACACAGTACATCGCTTGAAATGGTCGAGTGGTCAGTTTTTCTTCATTAAGTTTTTCTGGCTATTGAACTGAAAATTGAATAACGCTAAGATTGCCATCCATATAAGATACCTTCATCAGTAACTGGGGCCACTGTCTAACAATGTCAACTAACCATGCTGCTGTCACTCAGCAGGCAGGTGTACAGACCGAAGTACAGGTTCTTTATGGGGGGTTATTCCCAAGGTTAAGAATAGATCTATGTGACTGTAATGATGTTTGCTACTTCTATATTACATTAGAACCATATCTGAGAATACAAATTGCTTTATGCTTTATGTGCCTAATCATTTGCTTTTCGCCAAGAGGCAGATACAGAATTAGCAAAACAAAGGACCTTGGAGCATATATTTTTGAAAAGGTTCGGCCATCATTCCTATTGCTAGCTAAGTACTGGACTTAAAATGGAATAGAAATTTTGACCTCATGGTGGTGTTACATGATGAACCAGGGGATCACCAAAGCGATTATTCTGAGGGAGGGCATGAACGTGTGTACCACATTTCTTGGCAATCTAATCAACAATTGTTTTATTTCACTCAAAACCACAAATGTCAACCTTGTAGTGTGGTACTAGAGTAAAAGTCAGGGGATCGTTGAAGTCAGTAGGATTCATCCCCTGAGACCATGAATGTACAAAATGTTGTGGCAATTTGTCAAGTAGATGTTGATATGTTTGCCAGGATAAATTAAACTTTGACCTGCTGGTGGTGCAACAAAAAAAGGTTAGAGGATAATCAAAGTAACTGTGCTTCATCGCCTTGACACCCTCACTGATTTGTACTAAATTTTCTGCTTCTTGCATGGCTAAGAAACCTGAGCAGTCAGATGAACAGGGTTGTAAACAAATATCACTGAATAAACATAAAAACACAAAAAATATCAGTATATGTATTTACCTTTAAACACACAATTTAGTCAGAATCCGAAGAGTGAGAATACTGGATGTGTGTGTTGTTGTCTATGTTCGGGCCAAAGTACCCCTCTTAGAGCAGACATCAAGAGGCCCTAATGGACAGCCAACGTCTTCTCCTAGCACTTTGAGTTTATCCCTTTATTCCCCTCAGACCCCAATCATGAAGCATGCTAATCACGCGGAGAGCAGGTGGTGCAATTGAGATAACACTGCAGAGGTGGGCGCCGCATTATATGCAGAGGACAGACTAGTTTGATGCTTGTTGCTTAGAACTTTGGTTGATTACACCTGGGTGTTGCGGCACACTTGAGGTGCACCCACAAAACAATTTTCAGAAACAGACCCCACATTTTCTGGTCCAATACACAAACCTTTGTCGGATGTGAGCAGTCAAGAGCTACTCGCCTCCTTTTTGGATGAAAACTCCTCATATCAAATTATTGCTCCCATTACATTCCAGGTAATTAACATGTGCTTAAAAAGCCATTATGGATTATATGATGATATTTACCTTGTGAAGGTGATGAAGGAGATTTTCTCTGACGTGACACATCCTCCTGCTTTGTCCTCAGAGATGCCTTTGGGCTGGATGGCTTCCTCTCCGGACTGGATGACAGCCGAAAGGTTAGCTTATCCTTCGCCCCCAAGACCTTCGCCTAAGAACGTTTCAGACATTTCGGTAAAACACACACAAAGAAACAGATAAATAATAATAACAGTCTGAGAATAAACAGTTCAGATTCTGTATTGGAGGACACAACTGGAATGAATGAAATAGCAGACAGAAGGAGGTATATGGTGGTGATGTGTAGTTGTTTTAAAATACCTGAGCTGTGTGAAAATTCACAGCTAATGTGCGAAGAGTCATGACGACATTTCCACCCTTTGAAATGTTTGATACTGTCACTAAAAAGATGCACCTTGAAGATGAAAGTGTGGTGTAAACTGTGATGATGATTTACAGTGCAGAGCTTTAAAGGCTGATGTAATCTGACCTTGTACAGGTACTGTATGTGTGCCTACCAATGTCAAATATCTTGGTGCACCTCATAATGCTAAAAAACAATTTAGATAATGTGAAAGTTTTTGTCTTCAGGGAAACATCTGTGTGAGTGCTGAAAGGTGCTGAAATAAGCACCTTGTCTTAACACCTTTCAACACATTCTTTAAATTTTTTCCTTCGACAAAGACGCTCCTCTGTGCTGTTGTGTTACCTGAGCCGTGCCTGGAGCTGAGAGTGGCGCAGGGCTCTGAGTTTTGGCAGACATCTCTGTGCTGTAGACCATGACTCCGTGAGGGTTTGGCTTTGCACCTCCTTGCAGAACAAGCTGTATCTCTTCCCCCTTCCAGGCAGCTGGCTCTTGGAAGGGGCACCAAATCCCCCAGCGAACGCACTGCAAGAAGGCTGCTCGGGATGTGGAGGTGGCAGACAGCTGCGTGATGGAAAAAGACACAACATTAGAGGACATACAGACACTGATATGATTATGATTGTTTTCATATATAGAAACAACCTTGATTAACCTTTTTGTGACTTCACAAAAACTTTACTCTTAACGTAAAGGTTGCTTTCAGCTCCTAGTCTGAATTCTGTTCCAGTATGTCGATAATGTTGGTCAGACAGCCTTATTTTATGATTTTGTCAAAACAATCAATTTTTCATCAGTTAAGAAAGTATGGATTTAGGAGAACCTTTGCTTCACAGAACTACCTGGTTAACTATTTACCTACAGTATTAACCTAGCTAGGAGTAAGCAGGTAGTTAGTAACCTTCATTATTATGTTGGGTTATAAATTACTCTCTCTCTCTCTCTCTCTCTCTCTCTCTCTCTCTCAATCATCATGTAACTTTTTGGTTTGGTTTTTCTTTTTGTTTTGCCTTCACAGCACCACACTCACATTCAACACTGCAACCACCACTGTTTTACGACTTCAGATTAATTGATTATGTTTACTATTCTTTTGTCTTAGTTTCAAATAAAATAATGTTTAAAATTACTAAAAAATCCTGTCTGGTCTCGCTCAACAAGCCGGGGCTGTGTCATACCAGGAACCCTGAAAATGCAAATGTGTTGCTGCAGGGTGGGTTTAAGAAGTGTCTGGATGTTTAACATCTTTTTTTTGCTATGACTCTAGGTCTTTACTGGAATTTATTATAAGTGTTGTCATCCACAAAACAAACTACAAACTTTTATTATTAGTATTTGATATTCAAAAGATACAGCAGATGAAGCAATCTCTTTTTCCATACCTTCCCCTTGAAACAGAAACACGGTTGGTCTAATGAAACAACTGTAGACAGTAGATTAGAATGACTGCATTTCTAGGTTTTAGGCAGACATTTTACAGTTAAGGTTAATGTGCAAAAAACAAAACAAAACAATATATTACTGGTGTGCAACCCTAAATAATTAAATACAGCTTTGCCATATTAACAAAATCACTAAGGCACTCAATCATTTGAATAATTTAGAAAGCAATATAAAAATAGGTCAACTTTATTACAAATCTTTGAACTACAGTGGGTTAACATACTACCACTGCTGACAATTCTATATGGTCAATACATTATAGGCCTAAATACCAGGTCACACATACAGTTTAGGAGCAGCTTTGTGATTTATAATCACTCTTATTGCACCTCTACTCAAGCCATCGCAGGGAAAGAAAAAAAAGGGAAAAAAGCCTTTTGCTTTAAATCATCCACAGGGGATTCGGAGGTTTTGCTGAATCGATTAATAAACTGGTCAGCCACAGACTATTGTAATCAATCATAGGTAGGAGAGTACAGAATACAAAAGGAGCCTGCTTTTCAAGACAAAGTGGAGCATATAATGGTTCCCTCAATGCTTACAATTCCCCTGAGAACAGTTTTTACATGTAATATTATAATCCAATACTATAGATCATCACTCATATGAGTATAAACTTTATTCTACATGTCATGCAGAGTCCACTGGGTGGTATTATGGTAAACAGGAACTGCATGCAGTCTTGAAAAAGATGTGGAGAAAATTACTTTGTAACACAGAGAGACCTTTGTAAAACACTTAAACTGGATGTCCCAAGCAAAGTTATATGGTACAACAGTGTTTACAAGCACTCAGCTTCCGCATGATAGATTGTTCTGAAATGTATGTTTGTTGTTTTTTAACTCCACCCAGTTTTAGCAAGGAAAGCTGGGAGAAGGTCCTGAGTCTCTGTTGAGCAAGCGTTTAGTGACTGGCTTGTGAGTCTACCAGCCAACAGAAGTAGAACTTGTTTCCCTCCAAACTCTGTTACAGCCGCCTGTTACAGAACCACCTGTTCTTTCAGGAGCGCAGCTGAGCATCTGAAAGGACAGACGCCAGAAAAAAAAAGGCTTCACCAGGCTGAAAAATATCAAAAATTCAATGGACAAACAGATTTTCCGGTAAGCTCCACGAGGAGTATACGAGACGAAAACATTGTTTTGTTTTGTTGACTTGTTTATTCTATTTCCCCCTGCCACCACAGCTCTATATGCCCACAGAATGTGGACAGATCACTGTGATATACAGTAGTTCACCGGCAATGCTGTCGTTGTAGTTCCCCAGAGAGGAAAACTGGAGTGGTGCATGACATTACATCGGGAAGACTACATTGGTGAAACAGCAAGGACCTTGGACATGAGACTGACTGAACACTATAAACAGACTACATCAGCTTTCTGTGAACATAAAATCAAAACCAGCCATAGGATCCACTGAGAAGAGGTCAAAGTCTTCAACAAGGAGTCAACGGACAGCTGGAGAAAGATCAGGGAGGCCATCCACATCCAAAGAGCATCTTTGAACAAATGGGTTACAATCTTCTCTGTGTATGACCAACTGTTATCATGTGATCAATATATATATATATATATATATACTTAGGTCATTTAATAACAACTGAGCCACCTCCATGATAACTAAGCTAACTTCATTCACTGAGGACAGGGAGTTGCAGTTGAAAGCTCCAGAAAAAGATATTTAGTGGATCTTGAGTTCTCAGTGTATGTTTAAGTAGTTCACATGTTCACAATTATTTATTTTTTTTATTGCAAAATGTTTGATAGACTTTATGTTCTATGAATACCAATACTAAAAAGTGTTTTTGTGTTGTTTTTATATGTTTTACCTAATAAACATTTGGAGAGTTAAAGCTAGAACAGAGCTATAGAATCACCAACTTCTTACCCTCAAGTGTGCATTAACTACTGTTATGAAGTATCGGTCATCTCATTGGTATGAGGCCATGGGAGGTAATTAACAGTTATTGTACTGCCTGAAAAAAAATAAAAATATAGTGTCTAGGATAATTGTGGTTTGGATTTTCAAACGTCTTTGGTTGAGATTGGGTAAAGAGAGTTGCCATGGTCAAAAGAAACCAGTGTTGACTGTTGATGCTGTCTCCGGTGTTAAATTCACATCCTTTGTTGACCCATCCACCCACCTCGTTCCCATCCCTAAGCGGCCTCGCAGCCTCTGCCTCTACCTCTGCCTTAACCTCTGACAGACGACAGTCAGTATTCACACAGCCACACGAGGTCCTTGTCAACTCAACAAATACATAGATCATTTTAGGCTGTTAAACAAGCAATAAAAAGGTGTATTTGTTTTTCGTGGGAGAGCAGTTTCAAAATGTCAGATTATTATGCATTATGTAAAGTAACCTGGCTATCCTGTTAGCTTGCTAACAAAGCCCAAAGTCAAGTGTTGAGATAGGTTAATGGAGCTGACATTTGGCACGCTACAACTAATAGTGTACTGCAGCGAGGACTGAGAGTGCTAGAGGTGTAAAGGTTAAAGACATATCAGACCCTGTTTTACACTAGCCTAACCACTTTTTTTCAAGTTCAAATCAACACATCTAAACCCAAAAATATTTTAAACCTGCACTTCCCTTCAATTATTTGGCCTAGTAATCTCTTTAGTCTCCAGAATGGTATTGGCCTTGCCTGTTCAATTTGTTCAACAGCTTTAAAGACTATATACATACAGACTGGTCAGTCATATACAGAATATCGCTGTTGCCTGGAACCAAACGGAAGAGTACCTAGTCCTATCATTAAATGTGTGTTATGTACATCTAAGAAGACCTCTTCAAAGCTTCACCCATTTCAAGCGGCCCCTGATGCAGATCAATACTCCATTCCTCTCAAGAGGTAGTTTGTTTCAGACTATAATTTTACCCCCAAGTAGCACAGACATTAACAGCTATTTCTTTGAATTGTAACTCCAGAAATATATGGCAGCCATAAAACAGACAGATATTCCCCCTTGAGGCATTGCCTGTTTTTCCATCTCATGGGGTTGAATTAATAAGATGCTTTATATGAAACATTCAATCAAACATTTTCAAAGTGATGATTTTGTAGAAATGATCCAACTAGAGAAAGATCATTTTATGACACAGGGAGTAGCCAGTAAAAATTGTGAGGCAATTTATCTAATGTGTGTCTCTCTCTCTCTATTTTTTTTTTTAAAGCACTCTGTCTCTAACATGTCTATGCTCCCACAGAACACGAGGGAAAGAACAAAATGAGTGTCTAGCACATGACCCAACACTCACTTCTTGTATTATTCAATGAATATATTCAGTTGCGGGGATGATTCGGGAGCAGAGATGCCGCCTGAGCTCTGAGAGAATGAGAGAGACAAAAGACCAATCAGGGGCCTCTTCCAAAGGGATGCCTACAGCCCAGGAAAAAGCTTTTATCTATCCGACACTCAATGCTTATCACACGCTTTCAGGCTTCCAATCATAGGAAACTGAGAATAACTATGTTCAAAATTGCACTGAGTAACTTTGAGAGAGGATAAAAAGGAAAAGAAAAACTGTGAGCTAAACAGACATCCAGACTTAAAATGTTTCACCATAACTACATATCTTCCAACATATGTGACGTGAACATCCAAGACTGGGATCAAATAAGTAATAATTAATTAATTAATGGTCAAAATAATGAAAAACTAGATTCTGCTAACACAACAATGGCACTAAAATATTCACAGCACAAAGTAAGAATTCCTTTTTAGAAGCAAAGCTGGTAGCAACATGAATCACTTTCAAGATTTCAGTGCAGTGGTTTTAAAGTGCTTCGGAACGAGGTGATCTACATATGAACTGCACAAAGCGCTGACAGCTTGGGCTGGCAAACAATAGGATTGAAGGAATCTCAAAGAGACTCTTGTTGTTGTGGTTTGAGTAAACAAACATGGATAATAGTTTCATTTAAAGCCGGGCAGAAAATTCACATTATGCATGTAATCCTCGTACACAAACGGTCCACAACGTTCGGAGGCATACATGAGCTTAAGAACAACAATGTGCAGGTTCTTGATTATATGACAGCGGAGATCAATGTTACATCAACATGCCGGTGTGGCCAGTTTAATGGCATTGTGGTAAGGACACGGTGCTGTAGGAGGTA